TAACAAGGCAAACCAACGCGCCAAAACTGCCCGCACCAGCTTCCCCTCTTGAAGATCCAGGGCAACATATTGGGTCAGGGACCGAGCCAAAAGATAAGTTCGGACAGCCAATAAAAATTTGCCCGCGTCACTTGCGCTTTAGTTTGCGCTTTGGTTGCGCTTTAGTTGCGCTTTTTGACTTGCGCTTTAGTTGCGCTTGGTTGCGCTTTTGGTTGCGCTTTGGTTTGCGCTTTAGTTTGCGCTTTAGTTTGCGCTTTAAGTTGCGCTAAATTTTAAAATAATATTGTTATTTATTATCCGAACCTATCTCTGTCGTTCGGTCACCTGAACCCAATAATTTGCCCTTGAATGTATCAACCACTACTAACATCCTCGTTCTACTTTCCTCCGATAATGACTCCAAAGGCCATGTTTCCCGTAAGCTTCCTACCCTGTCCGTCTGCTGGCCTCCGTCCGCCGCTATCTTTTCTGCGTCGCTGATCCCCTCTCATCCTCCTCATGTCTGCTTCTCTCGCCACCGCCGATTACTTTCCTCGCCTCACACCTAAGTTCTGTAGAAACCCGACGAGGAAGGCATCATCACGATGTAGGGAGTTGCATCTCCGCGGCCGCCCCAGTCTACCTCGATCACGCAGAGCAACCGGACCTTTGCGGCCGTATGATCCCCGCGTCGTCGACGCTTTGCTCCCTTTTTACCCGCCAGCGCTTCGAACCCTCATTCCGGCACCACCTTCTACGGGTTGTTGGAATCCGAAGAGTTCACGTCGAAAATCCGTCCCCGCACGCAAGGTTGCAGCTTCTCGTCGGCGGCAACCTCTTAAGGAGATTTTCTTCACTTCGGGAGCCACGAGTGCCCGAACAATATTTCCGTCAAGGGCGGTCATGCGTTTCTATCGCGACAAAGAAGAGGCACGTCGTGACCACCCCAGATCGGAACACAGTGCGTCCTCGACTCTGTCGCCACCTACGGAGTCCAGGAGGGTCTTCGATGTCGAGCCTACCTCCCCGTTCGTTCTGACGCCTTGTCGACCTCGGAACGCCTTGCTCAAGTTCCATGGGGCCGACCCGACAGCCGGGCTCGTCATCATGTCATGGCAGTCAATACGAGATCGGCGTCGTGCAACCTCTCGAAGGAAGATCGGAATCTGTGGGCATAGGAGAGGCGTCCTTCCACACTGAATGCCTGCTCAGGCTCAGAAAGATCCTCGTTTTTTTTTTTTTTTATTGGTTGTTTTTGCGATTAGGATAACGGATGGGATGGATCTTTTAAATTTTTTGTATTTTTTTGAATTAAAAAGGAGTTTAGGGATCTCTATTCTGCTCGTCTTAAATTTTATTGATTGTTAGAAGCTTTATTATTTTGGATTCAAAATTTACGTATGATTGTGTATTGGAATTATAGACTAAAATGTCTCAAAAAAGGGATCTTGAAGAGATATGCCTATGGCCTATGCTACGACACTTATTAAATAAATATATTTTAACACTGATAAATAAACTTGTTAATCATTGTTTCCAAGTTTTAATAAGCCTTTTAAGGATTCCCTTATTGTGCTTCATTGATTTCTGTTTGTTGCCCACCGTGCATATCTTATTATCTGTGATTAAATGTTTTTTCTCTTTTAATTCGTTTGGGATGACTTTTGTTCTCCTTCTTGAAGCAACTTTCTAGTAAAAAAATTACAAATTTTATACTAAAAAGCTGCTTCAAGAAGCAGAAAGAAAGCCGTCATCAGGCTTCGTTTGGGATGGCTTTCTTACTACTTTTTAGTATAAATTTTTTATTTTTATACTAGAAAGCTGATTTAAGAAGCAGTAAGAAAATTGTCTCAAACGAAATCTTAATAAAGTTTACATCACATACATATCAGAAGAGAAAAATTTTTAAATTCACAGATAATCAGATATGCACGGTGGGCAACAAACAAGAAAATCATGAAGTACATAAGGGAATCCTTAAAAGGCTTATTAAAACTTGAGAACAATGATTAAGAAGTTTATTTATCAGTGTTAAAATATATTTTATTAAATAAGTGTGTAGCCATAGGCCATAGGATATTCTTCAAAGATCCCCTTTTTTTGAGACATTTTAGTCTATAAATTCAAATACACAGTACATACGTAAGTTTTGAACCCAAAATAATCAAAGCTCTCAATCAATAAATTAAGACGAGCGGAATAAGATCCCTAAACTCCTTTTAAATAGAATTAAAATGGATTGTTTGATAAATAATTAAACATGTACAGTGAGTGGTTGGGCCAAGACTAAAGCTCTTATGCTCCCTCAACAGCTGTGAAGTTCAAAATATTAAAATTAATTATTTTATTAAGAAAAATTAAGACGCCAGATGTGCTATCGACTCATAATATTATTTTAATTTATTATTATTATTATTTAAAAACAGTAGTCATTTACTACACCAAGCTTTTTAATGACTTGCTGACCTGTGCTGCATGACGATAATGACAAAAAAGACTCTTTGATTGGTATAATTAATTTGTGATTAAGTAATAATACTATAAGAAAAAAGATTATGAATATAGCTCCATTAATTCTTCAAATAAAAGAGTATGAGATAGCTAAATAATTTTATTGTATTTTTTATTGAATAAAATAATTAAGCTATAAAAAAATGCGGAATTGGTTGGAAAATGAAAAAAAAAAAAAATCTATAAATTACACAAAGTGGCCTGCTAGTATAAGCACATGATATCATTTCTTCTAAGAAAAATAGGGGGTTCAAACCCTAAA